AACCCGGGGGGCCTATGATTGGGGATTGCTGTTTCCCGTTTTTTTTTTATTTTTTTTTTGCATGTTTTTATATTTAGAAAAAAAAAAGGAAAACTAGTTTTTTCGGGAAAAAACGAAAAGTTTAAAATCTAACTGGAGGCAATTTTGTTCTTCGATTTTTGGGTTTATTAAGGGAGTTAAATTTACTGGGTAGGGATTGACCCCAAATTTTTTTAAAAACCATTTCCCAGCCCGGAAACCTTTTACCCCCTTCCCGTCGGAAAAATTTTTTAAACCCCTTTCCCAGTCGACACTTTTAACCCTTCCCAGTCCGGACATTTTTCCCCCCCTTCCCCCCCTTGCCCGGGCCCTTTTCCCCCCTTTCCGCCGGAAACTTTCACCCCCTTCCAGTCCGGACACTTTCACCCCCTTCCGCCCGGCATTTTCCCCCTTCCAGCCCGGACATTTCCCCCCCCCCCAGTCCGGATTTTCACCCCTTCCCTGTGGACACTTTCCCCCCTTTCGTCAGGAAATTTTTTCCCCCCTTCCAGGGACATTTCCCCCCTTTCCAGTCCGGAAATTTCCCCCCTTCCAGTCGGGGAACTTCCCCCCCCTTCCAGTGGAACTTCCCCCCCTTCCGTCGGCATTTTTCCCCCCTTCCGTCCGACACTTTCCCCCCCCCCCCGGGCCCCCCCCCCTTTCCCCGGCCCCCCTTTCCCCCCCCCCCCCCCTTCCAGTCCGGACATTTCCCCCCCCCCTTCCAGCCCCGGAACTTTCCCCCCCTTCCAGTCCGGCACTTTCACCCCCTTCCAGTCCGGTACTTTCCCCCCTTCCAGCCCGGACATTTTTCCCCCCTTCCAGCCCGCATTTTTCCCCCCTTCCAGTCCGGGGACACTTTCCCCCCCTTCCCAGTCGGACATTTTCCCCCCTTCCAGTCCGGCATTTTTAAAACCCTTCCCAGCCGGAATTTTAACCCTTCAGCGGACATTTTCCCCCCTCTGCCAGGGCAATTTTCAGCTTTCAGTTTTTTTACACTTTTGGAATGACAATTGCGGGTCTTTGCAGCACTGTACCCAAAAGAATTTTTCATTTTTTTGAGACGAAAAAGCTTTATTTTGGTGGTATTTATTACCGTGGGTTTTTAATTTTTTTTGAAGTAAATGAAAAAGTAAAAAATTTTTGAAAAAAAGTGTTTTTTTTTTTAAAAAATTTTGAAAAATAAAATAAATTTCATCATAAATCTTGGCCAAAATGTATTGTTATCTTTTTTGTAAAAAAAAAAAATCCAATTGTTATAACAAAATTATAATTTTTTAAAACTTTTGTTTTACTTTTTTTTTTTGATTTTTTTTATTATTTTTTTTATTTTTTTTTAAATTTTTTTTCCCCACTGTTCCTAGCAGTACAGTGTCACCTGGGAATGTTCTACTTGTGGGGGGTGTTTAAAATTTTTTTTTTTTTTTTTACCATTGTTTTTTCACCCCTTAGGATGTTAAACAATCAATTTCTCTTTTCTCTCTGGTACTGCTTTTCCTGCTATCATTGAGATGTACTGAGTGAGCTGTGATTGAGTAATAGCGTGTCACATGGTACATGCCTGTTTGTGCAAGTAGCCTTGTAACATGTGGACCTCTGTGAATCATTCACAGATTCACCAAGTTAGTAAGCAAATGATGTCACAATGTGACAATCTTGCTTTCTACTTGGGCATGTGATCACTGTAGTGGCCATTCAGTGATCACCATGATCGGGACCTCGTAACAGACGTTCGGTGTTTCCAACTGTGTTCCGGAGGTGACACAGCGCTGGCACCGGATTCGCGGTTTGCTGCGCGCTCCCAGGAGAGCACGCACCAAGCAGGTGTGAGGGAGTGGACATTTCGGGAGAAGGGGTGTAGGTATGTGATAGGACAATCATGTTCTTATGGTTTTTTTTGATTAGTTAAACTTATTTTTTGGGGGGTAGGGCTTGGAAACCAATTTTAGGGTTCTGTAGGTATAGAATAGGACAAAACATGTTGCTATGATTATCAAAAGACATTTCATTTTTTGGACGGGGGTAAGGATGGGTTTGGAAACAACACCAAATTTTGTGGGGCTGTAGGTCTAGACAAATATGATCTTTAATTCAATCAAACCAATTTTTGTGGGTTAGGGCTTTAAAACCAATGGTTTTGGGGTGAAGGTATAGAATAAGGCAAGCTTGTTTCTATAATTAATCAAACCAGTTTTTGGGGGTAGGGGCTTTAAAACCAATATTTTTTAAAGGGGGTGCAGGTTACTGTGATAGGGACAATCATGTTCTCGGGTTATTAAACCTAATTTTTTGGGGGTAGGACTTGAAACCAATTTTTTGGGGGTGTAGATATAGAATAGGGACAAATATATTCTATGATATATAAAACATAATTTTTGGGTGGTAGGGTTTGAAACAAATTTGTGGAGTGTGTTGGGTATAGAAGAGGACAGGCACATTTCGTATGATTGTCGATACCAATTTCTTAGGGTGTAGTGAATTGCTTTTCTTTAAACCTAATTTTTTTGGCTGCAGGTATCAGAATTAAGCAATGTAAGGAGGTAGCGGGCTGATCAAACATTCTCTATACCATTGGGGAAACTCGGGGCACTGCCACGAGGGCCATGGGGGTCAGGTAGGGGGGCCACCATAAGATTGCCCCTGGGTACTGTATTCATAAGCTGGTTTTGTGAGTTTGGGCATGGACACATGGGCCATGTTCATCCTTATGTCCCCGTGCGCGGGGGCACCATAGAGTTGTCAGTCCGACCTGCTATGGAGAGGTTGATGTCACATGCTACAGTAGCCGGTATGGAGTCTCATGAGCCTCAGCTCTATTTCCTGTGTGCTGAAGGGGAGGGAGGTGTCCTTTCCGCCAATCAGCTTCGCAGAGCTCTCTTCACTGAATGATGCAACTTTCAGCTTCCATCCCTGCTTTTTTCATATCGTGAGAGGATACTGTTGTAAGTTGCTGCACTTTGAGTGGGATGTATAGGGGTAAGTTTATGGTAGATAATCCAGGTACAAACGTAGCGAGGATTTGTTTCATCTTTGTGTATCAAAAACCATTCACTTCACTGGATATATGTAAGAGTTTGCAACTGCTTTACATCTTAACTGAGGTTTCCCACATACCATACCACAGTGCTACCTTCCCACTCTTTCCCTGTTACTCCACCTCCCCACCTGAAGGAGCAGTATGTCCTCAGTCTTCCAGACTGAATGATAGTGAGCATTTTGCTGCCTGGAAAACTGAGGGCATCTTGTGGTGGAGAAGAGGTACTGCATGAAAAAGCACCAGAGAGTAGGTGAGTATTACAGCCAGAGCTGCCTATTTGCCATAAACTACTGCTGGGGGGAATATTAAAAAAATATTAATAATTCCTGAATTTTTTTTTAAGCCCAAAAGTATTATTTGGTTAACTAAATGAATATCTTGCTTTCCACAGTCTAACCAACACATGTTTCAATACACCACAAACCCTGAATGTATTCAATGTTTAATCTATAAATCTTTTAATTAAGTATATCATCAAAAAATAGCAATGGAAAATGAAAAAGATATAGTTAACAGCATTTTACCATTCCGTGTGGAATAATACCCTGCCGTTACTGTAATTTGATTAATATATTTCATTACCTTTATATGTGAGTAACAATAAATAACATTACATTTATGGTCTAATAATACTCATTTCCATGATTCTTTTCTAACTGTTTTCTTTGCTTCTTGCAGTAATCTCATCATAAAGTCTAATTATTCCATTTAGTGTGCCTGCATTTAGAAATCCAATTTCGCTGAAAAAAAAAAAAAATAGAGAAATGCGAGGACTGCGCATTACTTAATAAATCACGTAAATTCTTTTTTTCTTAAATTGCTGTAGGTTTATTCAGTATAATCCTGAATCAATGTTTACCTGTAAATTGATTATCGTATGGAGTATTTATTGGGAGTTGTCATCCTAGGCTAACACATTGATTATATAACCTCTTATAGATGAGCTCTATCTATGGAGGAACAGCAGGGCTCGCAGGCTACACACAGGCAACGTCGCTTCCTTCTCGCAAAACCTCACTTTAATCGATACATGAAGGTTTATTCGCTAATTTAGCTAGTATATTTATCAGTGCAATATTTTCTTATTCAAAATTCAGTCCTATTTGGTATATTTTTTTTGTAGAATTGTTTGCAAACATTATTCCAAAATTTTGGTATAGACAAACACATTTTTGGGGGTTAGGACTTTAAACCAATATTTTAAAAGGGGTGCAAGTATGTGATAGGACAATCATGTTCTATGGTTATTAAACCTATTTTTTTTGGGTAGCACTTGAAACCAATTTTAGGGGTGTAGATATAGAATAGGACAAATATATTCTATGATTATAAAACCTATTTTTGGGTGGTAGGGTTTGAAACCAAATTGTGGGGTGTAGGTATAGAATAGGACAGGCACATTCGATGATTGTCGAACCAATTTCTAGGGTTTAGTGCCTTTAAACCAATATTTTGGGTGCAGGTAAAGAATAAGATAAATATGCTCTTTAATTAATCAAACCAATTTTTGTGGGTAGGGATTTACATCAATTTTAGGGGTGTAGTTATAAAACAGGACAACATGTTCTATGATTATCAAAGCATTTCATTTTTTGGGGTAAGGCTTGAAACCAAATTGGGGGGTTGTAGGTATAGACAAATATGCTCTTTAATTAATCAAACCAATTTTTGTGGGTAGGGCTTTAAACCAATATTTTAAAGGGGTGTAAGTATGTGATAGGACAATCATGTTCTATGATTATCAAACCTATTTTTGGGGTACGGCTTGAAACCAAATTGTGGGATGTAGGTATAGAATAGGACAGGCACATTCGATGATTGTCAAACCAATTTCTAGGGTGTAGCGCTTTTAAACCAATTTTTTGGGGTGCAGGTATAGAATAAGGCAAGAACGGGGGCGGACTGACAACTCATGGGGCCCCCAGGCAATAGGGGATCATGGGGCCCCTGTGTCCTTGCCCAAACTCAAAAAAAGCCTATGAAAAAGTACCAGGGGCATCTCATGGGGCCCCCTACTGACCCGGGCCCTTGGGCAGTGCCTGAGTTTCCAAATGGTCAGTCCGCCCCTGGGCAAGAATGTTCTATAATTAATCAAACCAATTTTTGGGGGTAGGGCTTTAAACCAATGTCTTGGGGTGCAGGTATAGAATAAGGCAAGCGTGTTCTATAACTAATCAAACCAGTTTTTGGGGGTAGGGCTTTAAACCAGTCTTTTAAAGGGGTGTAGGTATGTGATAGGACAATCATGTTCCATGGTTATGAAACCTATTTTATGGGGTAGGGCATGAAACCAATTTTAGGGGTATAGGTATAGAATAGGACAAACATGTTCTATGATTATCACACTTATTTTTGGGTGGTACGGCTTGAAAGCAAATTGTGGGGTGTAGGTATAGAATAGGAAAGGCACATTCGATGATTGTCAAACCAATTTCTAGGGTTTAGTGCTTTGAACCAATATTTTGGTTGCAGGTATAGAATAATTAATCAAACCAATTTTTGTGGGTAGGGCTTTAAACCAAAGTCTTGGGGTGCAGGTATAGAATAAGGCAAGCGTGTTCTATAATTAATAAAACCAATTTTTTGGGGTAGGGCTTTAAACCAATCATTTAAAGGGGTGTAGGTATGTGATAGGACAATCAGGATTTCCGTTTGTCTCCTCCCATTGTACACTGCTCCCACGAGCGGTCTCCTCATCCTCAGCTGGGCGTACCCGGGGGCCGTGACCTGGTCCCAGCTTACTGCAAGTCCATCCCCACCATCAGGAGCTCTGGTGAAGAAGCAGGCTGGGCTTAGACTCCGCACCCTGGGGAACCCCCGAGAGTGTGGTCTACAAGGGCTCTCTAATACAGGTTTGTGACAGCTTTAAACAATGTTTTGGGGTGCAGGTATAGAATAAGGCAAGCGTGTTCTATAATTAATCAAACCAGTTTTTGGGGGTTAGGACTTTAAACCAATATTTTAAAGGGGTGCAAGTATGTGATAGGACAATCATGTTCTATGGTTATTAAACCTATTTTTTTGGGGTAGGACTTGAAACCAATTTTAGGGGTGTAGATATAGAATAGGACAAATATATTCTATGATTATAAAAACCTATTTTTGGGTGGTAGGGTTTGAAACCAAATTGTGGGGTGTAGGTATAGAATAGGACAGGCACATTCAATGATTGTCAAACCAATTTCTAGGGTGTAGTGCGTTAAACCAATATTTTGGGTGCAGATATAGAATAAGACAAATTTGCTCTTTAATGAATCAAACCAATTTTTGTGGGTAGGGCTTTAAACCAATGTCTTGGGGTGCAGGTATAGAATAAGGCAAGCATGTAGGGCTTTAAACCAATCTTTTAAAGGGGTGCAAGTATGTGATAGGACAATCATGTTCTATTTTTATTAAACCTATTTTTTTGGGGTAGGACTTGAAACCAATTTTAGGGGTGTAGATATAGAATAGGACAAATATATTCTATGATTATAAAACCTATTTTTGGGTGATAGGGTTTGAAACCAAATTGTGGGGTGTAGGTATAGAATAGGACAGGCACATTCGATGATTGTCAAACCAATTTCTAGGATTTAGTGCTTTAAACCAATATTTTGGTTGCAGGTATAGAATAATTAATCAAACCAATTTTTGTGGGTAGGGCTTTAAACCAATGTCTTGGGGTGCAGGTATAGAATAAGGCAAGAATGTTCTATAATTAATCAAACCAATTTTGGGGGTAGGGCTTTAAACCAATATTTTAAAGGGGTGTAAGTATGTGATAGGACAATCATGTTCTATTTTAGGGGTGTAGGTATAGAATAGGACAGGCACATTCGATGATTGCCAAACCAATTTCTAGGGTGTAGTGCTTTAAACCAAATTTTTGGGGTGCAGGTGTAGAATAAGACAAACATGATTTAATTAATCAAACCAATTTTTGTGGGTAGGGCTCTAAACCAATGTTTTGGGGTGCAGGTATAGAATACGGCAAGCATGTTCTATAATTAATCAAATCAATTTTTTGGGGGTAGGGCTTTAAACCAATTTTTTTTAAAGAGGTGTAGGTACGTGATAGGACAATCATGTTCTATTTAATTTAAATCTATGTTTTGGGGGTAGGGTTTTAAACCAATTTTTTAAAGGGGTTTAAGTATGTGATAGGACAATCATGTTCTATGATTATTAAACCTATTTTTGGGGGGTAGGGCTTAAAACCAATTTTTAGGGGTGTAGGTATAGAATAGGACAAACATGTTCTATGATTGTCAAACCTATTTTTTGGGGGTAGGGCTTGAAACCAAATTGTGGGAGGTAGGTATAGAATAGGACAGGCACATTCGATGATTGTCAAACCAATTTCTAGGGTGTAGTGCTTTAAACCAATTTATTTTGGTGCAGGTATAAAATAAGACAAATATGCTCTTTAATTAATCAAACCAATTATTGTGGGTAGGGCTTTAAACCAATGTCTTGGGGTGCAGGTATAGAATAAGGCAAGAATGTTCTATAATTAATCAAACCAATTTTTGGGGGTAGGGCTTTTGTCACAAGTTAGCCTGCAGTTTCTTGCTTGTGTATTCTTACCTCCTTGCTGCAGTGCTGTTCCTGATCTCTTTCACATGTGTGTTTGTCTGTGCTCACCTATCGGCGGCGTCTGCTGTTCTCTGGGTTTTATTTCCTTCCCTTCCATCACTTCCTGGCCCGCCTCCTTCTTTGCCTGCCTATATAAGACATGCTCAGTCTAGGCCACTTTGCCTGAGCAACTTCCTAGTTGTCTGAGCTCCTGTGTGTTACTATTGCCTGTATCCTGCATTGACTACTTGTGTACCAACCCCGGCTTCATTCTCTGACTGTGCTTGTTTTCTGCCTGTCCTGACCTCAGCTAGTCTATCGGATTTCCGTTTTTCTCCTCCCATTGTACACTGCTCCCACGAGCGGTCTCCTCATCCTCAGCTGGGCGTACCCGGGGGCCGTGACCTGGTCCCAGCTTACTGCAAGTCCATCCCCACCATCAGAAGCTCTGTTGAAGAAGCAGGCTGGGGCTTAGACTCTGCACCCTGGGGAACGCTGAGAGTGTGGTCTACAAGGGCTCTCTAATACAGGTTTGTGAGAGCTTTAAACCAATGTTTTGGGGTGCAGGTATAGAATAAGGCAAGCATGTTCTATAATTAATCAAACCAATTTTTTGGGATAGGGCTTTTAAACCAATCTTTTAAAGGGGTGCAGGTATGTGATAGGACAATCATGTCCTATGATTATTAAACCTATTTTTTTGGGGTAGGGCTGGAAAATAATTTTAGGGGTGTAGGTATAGAATAGGACAAACATGTTCTATGATTATCAAACCATTTTTTGGGGTAGGGCTTGAAACCAAATTTTGGGGTGTAAGTGTAGAATAGTAGAGGCACATTCGATGATTGTCAAACCAATTTTTAGGGGTAGGGCTTGAAACCAATTGTGGGATGTAGGTATAGAATAAGGACAGGCACATTCAATGATTGTCGAACTAATTTCTAGGGTGTAGTGCTTTAAACCAATTTTTTGGGGTGCAGGTATAGATTAAGACAAATATGTTCTTTAATTAATCAAACAAATTTTGGGGGGTAGGGCTTTAAACCAATGTTTTGGGTGTAGGTAAAGAATAGGACAAGCATTTTCTATGATTGTCAAACCACTTTTTAGGGTATAGAGCTTTAAACCTAACACTGACGTACAAAGCTGTCCACCATACTGCCCCGAACTACATCACTGACCTAATATCCAAGTACCACCCAACACGCACACTCCGCTCCTCACAAGACCTCCTTCTCTCTAGTTCCCTGGTCTCCTCCTCCCATGCCCGCCTCCAGGACTTCTCCAGGGTGTCACCCATCCTCTGGAACTCCCTGCCCCAACCCATCAGATTATCACCTACTCTCCTCTCCTTTAGGCGCACCCTGAAAACCCATCTCTTCAGGGAAGCCTACCCCACCCCCTGCTAACTTGCCGACCTCCTCCACTCTTCCTACCGCTCCATCCCCCACAGCTATCTCCTCCTGTGCCACCATCCCCTCCCTCCTAGATTGTAAGCTTGAAAGAGCAGGGCCCTCAATCCCCTCATGTTTTGCATTGTATTGGTATTGTTCTGTCACATGTTCTGTCCCCCTTTGTAATGTACAGCGCTGAGCAAATTATTGGCACTTTATTAATATTGTATAATAATAATAAAAAACCAGTAATTAGAAGGTAGGTATTGAATAGGACAAACACGTTTTATGATTGTCATACTGAATCTCAATCATCTGTTTCAAGGTCAACTGCTTTTCTGTACCCAAAAATGTACTGTAGATGCAAGGCAGGTTTGGACTGTGTAGAGCGTAAACAGGAACCTTGACATCAAAGAGTGAGTCCATCAAAAGGTTTTTCTCAGTTAGAGTTGGAGTATGGTGAGCTGAAAAAGCACCAGGCTTCTTAAAAGTCTTGGATTCCCCAAAAGCAAGATCTCCCTTCCATGATTCATGACTCCTTTCCATCTGTGTTTGGTGTTCCCTGACAATTTTGCATATTCCAGCATCTCCTGTTCCATTTACAACTACTGAATATGAAATGAATTAATTCTCTAAAGAAAAAACTGGGCTTGCAGGACATACACAGGCAATATTTTCTCTCACTTGCAAACTTCAATTTATGAATTACCTTAATGTTTAAGTGCTATTTTTTTCAGTGTAATATCTTCTTCTTCAAATATGGAACGTTCAGTCTTCTGTGGAATCATATTTTATAATTGTAAACATACTGGCAAAAGTTATACCATGTTTTGGCTAAAGTTGGGCTTTAAACTAATTTTTTGGGGGTGGGTATAGAATAGGACAAGCATACTCTATGATTGTCATACTGGATTCTTGGCATCTTCTCCATGGTCAACATCTCTCTATACCCGTTGGAAAATGGAGATGCAAGGTAGGTTTGGAGTGTGCAGGAAGCTTAACATCAATGACTGAGACTACTCAAA